GACATACCCCGTTCTGAAGTTTATCGAGTGTTCGGACTACAAACTCCCGAGGCTTAGAAACGTGAAGATGACCGACATTTCTGGCATCAGAAACGAGCTCGAGTTTGTCTGGTTCCTGCTCGATAACTCTCTGGAACTCGAGACTGTCCTCATCGCTCCGTGTCTGTCGGATTCAGACGCCAGAGTAGATATGCTCATCGATCTGCTCAAGTTCCAGCGTTCATCTCCCCGAGCTAAGATCCTTTTCCTTCAGGACTGATAGATTCCCTGTTCTTGGAAAAATAATGTGAAACCGACATTGTAGAAGAAAAATGGAATACTTTATGACAAAGCCATTGAATTTTCAATGTGAAGAATATTTGAATGATAGCAGAGAGGCATTCCCAGAAGGGAGCGAGTCCGGAGATGACGATGTCATGGTCAGAGAAAAGTTAAAATTTGCAAATAGAGACCCTAAAAATGGTAATTATTGTGAAACTCACCTCCTTATATGATTTGAGCTAGATATACCCTTTTTATTTCTAATTGAATTAAACAGTCCAATTAGTAATATTTTTGTGTAGATTTTATGGAAATAATTGACCTCATTCTACCTGGTATATGTATATATGTGTATATATAGTCCACCACGAAACATCAAGATTTTTTAATATGATTCACTGATAAAATGTGGATGCAGATGCCAAAGAAGTAACAAACAAATTACAGGGGTGTTTCTGAAGGTGAAAATTAAATGAGGGGTGTTCTTGAAATTTCTTGATAAACGGTAAAGATCGTTTATAGGTACGGAAACTCGGAAGAAACGCAGAGCCGTAGTTCCCCACCTTCGTCTCGTTTAGGGCGGGAGAGAGATTCTTACATTTCCTCCCTCCCCCCTCTCTTTCTGCAGCTCCAAGAGGTAATCAATCCGAACCGTTCTCGTCTTTCATTTTCTCCTGTATCCCTCTCTTTCTCTCGTTGATCCTGTTCTTCCGCTGGTCCAATCTGGTGAAATTTTATGAATTTGGGGATCTCAAGTTACCGAATTGGTTCTCCGAGTTCGTGTAATGTTAAATCCGATGCAAGTTTTTGATTTTTCAGACATGGGTCATGCTCATTTTCTCGCTTTCATTCTAGACACCTTCGGATGTATGATTTGATGACGTTCAGTTTGCTGTATGGTTTCGGCAGGTTGTTTTCGAGTAGAGGAATCGTGTCTTGAATCGAGAATAAACTAGAGACAATGGGTTATATAGGAGAACATGGTGTAGCAGCTCTTCATAGATACAAATACAGTGGTGTTGATCACTCTTATCTTGCCAAATACGTGCTTCAACCCTTTTGGTCTCGATTCGTCAATTTCTTCCCGCTATGGATGCCGTGAGTATCTCTTTCACACCGTTTCGTCTATGTTTCGTAGTCATCATAGTGAATAATCTGGATGGTGGCAGTACAGTAGTAATATTCTGTCATTTTGATATAGTAATTAAAAGTACCAAACTTTCTGATTTGACCAGATGTTTACGACGTTTTTCCATGTTGGATATAAGGTCTGGTTTCTAGGCTCTAGCATTAGTGTGCAAAGATTGAGATCTTCGAGTCTCTTGGTTGATGCCTTGGGTTATGAAATCAAAATGGGTTTCTTTTGGATTTCTCTTTGCTCCATGGTTGAAGCAATGGTGAGGGTGAAATTTTTCTTTGCATTCAGCTAAATATCTGACTGACATTTCGTGATGCTTTTCCTTTCATGTATTTTCCTGTTACGGCCTGGGACCATTTCTAGACCCAATATGGTATAGTAATTCTTATTTCACATTTTGTCCTGTGTGCTGTTTTTCATGCAGCTATCGCTTCATGCTAATTTTTCCGTTTTTATGTTTTGTTTCCCAGATCACACTTATGGGGTTTATGTTTCTTGTCACATCTGCTCTGTTGGGCTATGTGAGTTATCATTCTTTGTTTTTGGAATCTTGATATTTTTAATCTTTTCGGGTTATCTGTCATATGAATATTGTTTTTGTGAAAAAAAAATTGTCTGTTTCAGATATATTCACCTCAGTTGGATTCTCCCCCACCACGATGGGTTCACTTTGCACATGGTTTACTTCTATTTTTGTATCAGGTTCGCTATCTCTTGTTCTTGGACTTGTCTGAGCTTTTCCATCTGCATGCTGTTCTGATTTTATTCTTTCTGCTGTGTTTTTTGAATTCTTATAATTGCATTTCAGACTTTTGATGCGGTTGATGGGAAGCAAGCACGGAGAACAAGTTCCTCCAGCCCGCTTGGGGAGCTTTTTGACCATGGTGATTTCCGGTTATATATGTTTTTTCATTGATTATTTGTCGTCATTTAGTTTGTAGAAATTGCTGCTGAGACATGTGGTTCATGTTTTATGTTGCAGGTTGCGATGCACTTGCTTGTGCGGTGTGCAATTTCCATCCTGTCCTTTTTCACCATTCATTTATTAGTGACATATTCCTTTACTGGTGCTGATTGTTATAGTAAAAACCAGTTTGAAAGCATGGCATTTGGGAGCACTGCTATGTGCGGAAGAAATACTTTCTGGTTCTGGGTTATTTCAGCTGTTCCATTTTATGGAGCAACATGGGAACAGTAAGTTGTCCATGTATAATCGTCTTTGTTTCCGTTTTTCTGCTCTAGTCTTATATTTTCAGGTTGAGAATTGTTTCATTCTCTGATATTCTACTTGCCGTTATCTAGCTATTTTACCAACACGCTTATTCTTCCGGTAATCAACGGGCCTACAGAGGGTCTTGCGCTTATATACGTCAGCCATTTCTTCACAGCCGTTGTTGGTGAATTTCTCTCCTCCTCTTGCCAAACAAGCTATTTCAATCTTTTTATGATCATTGATTTCTTCATTGCTACTGCTCAATCGACATTTTTCCTTCTTAAGGTGCTGAATGGTGGGCTCAGCAGTTTGGGGATTCCATACCTTTATTTAGCTGGGTACCATTTGTTAATGGTAAGTATTCCCCCTCCACTCCAAAACCCGGCCACACGATTGTGTCAAGAAGAAATACTTGTGTGATATTCACTGAGAAGCCTTTGATCTTTCTCGGTTTCAGAGATCCCGACATACAGAGCTGTACTATACATGATGATTGCTTTTGGTGTTATACCAACTGTTGCATTCAAGTAAGTTTCTTCCAAAATTTAACCACTTTAATAGCTGCTTGAAGATATACTCAGCTAGGCAGCTTGAACTATTTTCTCCATTTTTCGGTTGCAACTTTCGCAGTGTTTCTAATGTCTATAAAGTTGTTCAGTCAAGAAAAGGAAGCATGCCGCTAGCCATAGCTATGGTATTCTCCTCTGATCATTTGATTTTTGGACACATGTTTCGATTCTTCGTCTTTTTGTTTATATCCTGTTGATCCTTGCTTTCAGCTCTATCCCTTCACCGTGCTTCTTGGAGGAGTTTTGATTTGGTAAGTCTTGTTTTCTGCTCTATCGCTCTATGAACCAAGATCTTACTCTCTCCATCATCGACATTTTTCTGGACACAATTTCACAGGGACTATCTGTCTCCAACTGATCTCATGGGTACCTATCCTCATTTAGTTGTATTGGGGACTGGGCTTGCATTTGGATTTCTTGTGGTAAGTGTTGAATCTGTTTTTTACCCGGATTTCTTTTTCTTTAACATGTCTTCTTTTCCTTCACTGTTCTACGATTTAAACGGGAATTTAGGAAGAAACGTTTTTTTTTTTGTAACATTAAGATATAACTTACATTCTAGTCTGCTCATATAAGAAACTTCTGATGGGAGCCTCTTAACATTTCCAGGGAAGAATGATTCTGGCTCACTTGTGTGATGAACCAAAGGGTCTGAAAACGAACATGTGCATGGTACGTCGATCTTATCATTGGGTTTATTATTTAAGATAATACAGAATTTTCACGCATCGGTATTAGCTCGTGTTTCAGAATTCATATCCTCCTGAAACATGTTTTCTAAACCATGCTGAAAAAAAGTCGTAAACTTTCACGAGTAAGCCCGTCCTATTTGTTCTTGCAGTCGCTGCTTTATCTCCCTCTTGCAATTGCGAATGCTCTAACTGCGAGATTGAATGATGGGTATGTTCAATTCTTCAGCTTTTCTCTAGCAGAAACTTCACTGCCTAGTTCCTTATCCACCATCTTTCCAAGTTCAACTATACATTTTCGTGACGAATATTTCCAGGGCTCCTTTAGTTGATGAGCTGTGGGTTCTCCTCGGCTACTGTTTATTCACAGGTTTGCCCCGAAATATCCTCTTCACGGGTCTGTAGATTTCATCGCTTGCGAGATTAGTTTTTCGGTATTATGATCTAATCTCTCGTTCGGGTTTAATGGCAGTGTCACTGTACTTGCACTTTGCGACTTCAGTCATTCATGAGATCACTACGGCCCTCGGAATCGGCTGCTTCAGGTGATATATAACGAGAAACTCGATATTCTTGAGCTAATTCCTAATACGAGAACGAAAACGTTCAAGTAAAAATGCTAATTTTCTCTTGAAATGAACAGGATTACTCGTAAAGAAGCCTGAAAAAGGGGAAAAAAAATCCTCCCAAAGTCTGCTGAACATCTCCAGGTTAGTATTGGCCTTTCTCCCACCTCAGCCTCTCTCTTCATGCTTCTTATGAACTCAATATTTCTGTAATGTGTTGATACATAATATTTTATCTGTATATGTGTGTGTGTGTGTACATAAGGTGTCGACTTTATTTGTTGCGGGGTTAATCTGTTGGGCCATTTTTTGTTCAGGGGTATGCAGATGAATACGAATAAGGGGATTATTTTGCCTTCGGACCAATTTTTACTTGGATTCAGACGTGGAATTTACCTTCACTTTTTTTGTGGGTTAGGACTTTAGGATATGTAATTTATTTTTATAACTGTATGATTTTGTTTTGGGGGGAAAAGAACATTGGAACTATAAAATCAGGGGAATTAGCTATAGTTTTCCTCTTTTTTTTTGTAATGGTTTGAGAAAAAATTTCAAATTATAAGTTTTGTTCTGAAAAATAAATAAATATATATATATATATATATACACATGTGTGTGTATATATTGTTGTTTTCTATCAATCGTGTGTCCTGTGTACTAAACATCAATCGAGTTTGAAATGGGACAGTACCATAAACTGGGACCGGTCCTGAGATATGGTCCTATGGACCACCGCCTATTTTTTGTCGGAAAATAATAATTAAAAAAACAAAATAAATAAATAAAATTATGAATATAGTGTTATAAAAAACTACTAGCCGTATCTAATCATACAAATTAGATAGAAAGTGGACCGGATGTATCTAATCATAACTGATCGGATTTCTGAAAACTAATATTTAAATTATTCGATTCTGAACAGCTAAGACATATTTATGTCGTTTGTCTATATACACAAATATCATTTTATCATGGCATGGCCAAACCAACCAATCAAATCAAAAAAACCCATTTGATAAAACAGCTGATTTTTACATTTGAATTTTATATTCCGGTTTGATGCCAATGTTAACGCCTAAACCGGTTCAATCGAACCGAACCGATATGCCATGCAAACCAAGACCAGACATAATAATTAATTAACAAAGGAAAACAATATAACACAATGATTATGAACACATGAGATTTAAAAAGATAACATTGCAAACCCAAAAAAAAAAATTAAAAGAGATCAGACATCATAATATGACATTTTAAGAATAAAAAAAAAACAAATAGATAAATAATTTAAAGAGACAGAACATAACTTAGAACATTGACATGTCTCGAATGATGCCCTATTGTTGAAGCATGCTTTGCTTGGAGCATGCCTGCTTCTGCATCATCTCGCCTTTTTCTTCCTCTTCTTCATTCCTTTAATTTCAAATAATAAAAATACATAAAATACAAATTGTTAAAAATAAAAAATAAAAAATACAAACTTATGTAGGATCATTCCATGAATTTCACCGTTTTGAGAATCTAAATGTAAAATATGTATGTATATGTTTTGGTTACATTATTTTATGGCATGGAATCTATATTTTTTAATATGTAAATTATAATTCAAAAAACAAAAAATATGGGGGGGGGGGTGTTCTCATGCATAGACAAGACATTCGAGTCGAGTGGATCATATGCAGAGTCCACCACGCCACGTTAAACCTTAAATGTCTTTCGACACATTTACTTCAAACATTTCCATTTTTTTTATTTTTTATTTTTTAAAATTGAAAGCCTTTTCTAACGTCACAATTTATATTGAATAACATAAAAGTATATACATGCATATATATGACACATGTGTATGACATAATGATTTTAAAATAACATAAAATGAAATTTCTCGGGCCAATTCCATGCCTCGGGCTAAAATGCTATGTTGTTTGTTAGTTTATCTTGCAAAAGTCAAACCCATTTTATTTATTAGAAGTTTGATTATTTGGGAATTATAACTTTTAAGTTTTTTTTAACTATATTTATCGAGCGTGTATACGTTTATACAATATATATTTTTTTCAAATTATTTGAATTTCGTTTTGCTTAAAAATATATTTTAAACATTTTGTGACTGTAATTTTTAAACTATTCTTATATTTTATTTGAATATTTTAATCTAAAACTATGTCTAATTTTTAATTTAGATAAAATAAAATAAAATAGTATTCGACTGATTTAATTAGATTTTAATTATACATAGTCAGTCACATTTTTTAAAAAAAATTAGCAGCCTGGATGTTTTATTTTTATAAGGAAAAAATTAAATATGGCCTTCACATCAAATTGCAGCATCACGTTGGGGGGGATTTACAAAAATGACTTTAAATGTCATTTTGACTTCAAGGGTGACCTTGAAATTTTGATAATTCCAATTTTGTCCTTCAATATAATAATTATATTTTATTATTATTTTATTCAGGAGACTTTATTTCGTTTTCGAAAAAACTTAATATTTCTTTTATTCGGTTTAGCGTTTCTTCTAAAAATGGGAGCCAATGTCCATTATAATTATCTTTCGATGAATGTTTTCTAAAATATTCAATTTTTATTTCTTTTATTGTAATTAATTTATTTAATTCTGTAATTATATTGTTAATTTGTTCTTTTTCTATTGTATTTTGTATGCATCTTAGTTTACTATATGTTTCTAAATGTTGTACTGGTGCGTTTAATAATTCGATATTTTTCTTGTATATTTTTTCCATTTTATTCGTCAGAATTTATAATATCTCGTTTAATCTCTCTTACTGCGTTAAATATTGCACTAATCATTCTTATTTTTCGATTTTCCTTATTAAGTTCATTTCGTTCAATTGTTCCATAAGTTCGTTCTCTGAATATACTTTCTATAGTTTCAACTAATAATTGTTCAAGATGATCTAGGCATGGTAAACTTTCAAGATTTAATAAGGATAGTTTTTCGATAAAGTCTTCGTTAAAATTCATTTTGTAAGATTATTGATTTGTGATATTGTTTTTCGTAATTTAGAGTAATCTTCCGGGTTTTCTTCTGATTGTTCAGTGTTGAATAATATAGATGGTGATTCTTGTATACTTAATCTTGGGTTAAGTCGTAACAACGATTTCCGTCCTGGTTCTATTGCAGTTAATGGTCTTTTTAGATAAATTACTGGTTTAAATAAATCATCTATTTCTATAATCTCTTTGTTTCTAAAATTTAAACTGTGATGACTATTGGTTAATGCGTAGTTAATCTGATAGGTTATAGAAAAAGGGTGATTTCCTTTTTCCATGAAATCTGTTCTATCTAGTTTGTATTGGATAACTATTGAATTATCCAAGTCTTTATCTTTCAATGATAATCCGAGTTGTATATTAATGTTAAATTTAATTTTTCCAGAAGAAAGATTTCCTTTTCCTTCGGCTATAATACTTTCTTTATAATTGGTTAATCTGTCATCTCTAATTTGAAAGGTAATCGGGGAATCGATACCTTCTTTGAATGTTGATTTTATAATTATTTGAATAGTACTACAGTGTATGTAGGCTATTTGTTTTCTTTGTTTTTCGGGACAATTTCTGAGTCGTTCTAAGATTTGTTCTTTGTTAATAATTGGGAGAATGAGTTCTCCTGTAGTTTGTTCAATTGGTACTGGTGTTTCTCCAACCATTATTCCGAACTTTATTATGTTTGTTCTCGATAATTGTTTCTTTATTTTTCCTAGTATAGTCTGTTCGAAGTTTTCATCTTTTTGGAGATCAAAACTTATTTTTCGTATTTTGTTTATATCTATAATTCCATCAAAGAAATATTCTTCATCTGATTGTATAAAATTATCGAATGCAGAAGTTGATGCCATACCTGATTCGTTTTTGTAGATAATCCCTGTCGGTTGGTGTTGGTGAAGATCGTTTCCTCGTTGGTGATCCGGAGATCTGATCGGTTTTTTGATATTGTTCAGGGGCGGTGTTTAGTTCCAGAGTTCTGGAGTAATTGATTTGGGATTCAAAAGAATCTATTCAAGGCCTCCAGAAGATATAGATCTTCAAGCCAATCTCTTGAGAGAGATCTTTCAGAGAGAGTTCTGAAACAAATCCGTTTATTTCACTCTGATTTCTCCCAACAGAGAGAGCTCATATTTATACAACTTTGGAACCCTATCGGTTAGGATAAGAATCTCAAACCGGGGCCCGACTTACACACATGGCATTACATAATTATACAATAAAGATTACAGAGATAAGGTTCATGATAACCTTATCTTTTATTGGGGCCTATTGCCGACAATATTATTTCACATGGTCACTAGTCCTTATCACCTTTAATCACGCGTCTGCCGATTCTTCTGATGGTGGTTGGCTGTTTCTTTTCATTTTGTCCTTTAGTTCTTTGCAGATAGTGCATTTGTGATCATCATACCTCATCAGGAAGCTGCAGAGCTGTTCCTTGATAGATTCCTCTAGTCCTGCGAATTTTCCTTCTAAATGATAGAAGTCTAATTCGAAATCTGCTACTGCTTGCATTTCTTCCTTTGAAATGGTCGAATTGTTATAGGTGATGACTAATACGTTACTGCTGGCATAGTTGACTTTGATTTCTGAATCCGCAAGGATTCTTCTTGATGCCTTGAATACTTCCAATAATGAGTGAGCTTCCAGGTCATCTGGAATCTCATATTCTGATGCGTCGTCTCTTGAAGGCAAATCTCCTTTTGCCACTCCAAGGTGTATTACAGCCTGAGACTGTATGATCTTATCTTTTCCGAAGATCGGGATTGAACTTTTAATCTTCATGAAGATGGTTCTTTCTTTTGCGAATCGTTCGAAATAATTCCTGATAATTGGTTTCATCCTTCTTGGGAATTCTTCAAATATTTTCATTGAATCAGTATAAATACTGTCGACTAATCCATGTTGAAGATAATCAAAGGCTAGTAATGGGTTGGCTTCTCCGATGAAGATAGCCTTTGGTCCAGTTCTGGTCATTTTTGGGTAAAAACCCATGGTGGTGTGTTTTTCTTTGTAGCCCAGTAGGACTGGTATTTCTCGAGGGTGACTTTTTTCATGGCCTCTTTTTCTTGTGTGGTTGGTATTTGGGCTATTCTGGGTATTTTCATTGATGGTAGTTGGGCTTTTGGTTCGACTGGTTGTTTTTGGGCCATAGTCTTGTAGGATTCGTTTAAGGCTTTTTGGGCCTCTTCTTTGGTTTGGAAAGTTTGGTGTGAAACCTTCTTTCCGTTGGTATGTTGCGAAAAGATCGCGTAGTCTTCGTATACTCCTCTGAATGGTCCACTAAAGATAGCGTACCATTTGTTTGATTTTTCTTTTATCTTGATATCAGTAGGAAGTGTAACCTGATCTAATCCTTTTGTTGTATGTTCTTGCTTTTCGTCTTCTTCTACTGGTGTTCCACCAGTTGCTTTTATGATGATGTTCAAGGATTTAATCAACTCCTCTCTCTCCTCAAAGAGTTTTGAGAGATTTTCCTGAATAGTCTTGATCTGGTTGTCTTTTTGACTGATCTGATTCTGAATTGCCTTGATTATTCCTTCCATT